ATGTCAGAAAGTCATACAGAAAAAAGCCTAAAAACTGTAATTACAGACTTCTGCCTGCACTTCCACCTGCTACCAAATTCACCCAGAGACAGGTGGTGAGTGCCCCAGTGCTGACAAACTAGTGACAGAATCACATGCCCACTCATTACCCAGATATAGTAAACCAAATGAACAACAAATCAAGGTAGAGCAGACCAACTTAGAATCAACAAATTAATTTAATAACACCGCGATGCCTTAGAAACAGCAGACAACGTCAAATTTCACACACACAACCAAACAAGGTGACTCAGCAAGTGACCAAAATAGAGGGCCAGAAAATTTTTGGAGGAATAAATGCTTTTGGAACCATTTGAGAAATTCAGATTTATACTTAGTTTCTTTCTTTTAACAGTTTTAAGAAAGAGATCACAGACATAATCAAGGAAAACACAGGAGAAAAAACTCTAGAAGAATTCAGGAAAATAATAAAAGTACAAATTAACAAAATGAATGGGAAATTGACTAATACCAAAATTGCAGAAGTAGATAACGCATTGGAAGGGCAAAAGAGTAGAATTTAATCAATGGAAGACAAAGTTAGCAGAACTGAAGACAATTCTCTAAATAGTCATCTGAAAGGATAGCATCTGGGATTTTAAAGGCTTGTCTTCAAACAAGCAGCCATATAAGTGAGGTATCAACTAAGTCCACGTGGAGGAAGCACACTAGCCTGCGTGATCCAAGGATTGTAAAGAATAAAACCCAAATCCAAAGGAGGAAGTGGTATCAGAGCTTAACTTGTGACACCTGATTTGCAGAAGGCTGTGGATGACCATGGGAACCCAAAACCCACTTGCAGAGTCCCCGTGGGGACTGATCCTCCACTGAGCTCTCAGACCATTGACCATGCTGTGAACAGTCGTGTCCTCAAACAGAGTTTACTGGAAAGTAGGTTAATGTGTGTTGGCCAGTGTAATCTAACTTTCTAAAACCCAAACAAGAGAAAGAATCATGAAAGCAGCTTGGGAAAAAAAAAAAAGCTATCTACAAAGGAAAACTAAGGAGACTGAGCTCTGATTTCTCAACAGAAACCAAACTGGCCAGAAGGCAACGAGATGATGTGGTCTTTTGGGTTTATGTCAACTTGGCTGTACCTGTCAAAAGACATGGGTGGAGTGCACCCTCTCACTCAGATCACAGCCTGAGGACATTCCCTTGGGATCATGGCCATGTGATCTCCATGAAGAGACACTGCAAAGAATTCTCTTTTTATTGTTGTGGATCCCACATCTGTTGCATCTGCTTCCCGTTCACTGAACTTGGGCTACATTTTACCATATCTCCTGTTGAACTTGGGCAAGCTCTCAGTGGCAAATTCAACAGCTGTCGGCTGTGTGCTATAACATCTGACCTTCCCGTTTGACTTTGCCTCCGCTGACCTGTGGTCTTCCAGCTTCCTGGTTCACATTTCCACTTCATCAGCCCAGTAGCTCCGTGCGTCAGGAAGGGCCTCCAGCTTAGGATCTGACCCACTGACTCAATCCAGACTGGGCTGACCACTGTGCAGCGGTGTGGTCTGCTCTCCTGATATGAATTTATTTCTTATACATATACTAGTGTCACTGGTATTGCTTCTCTAGAAAGCCCAGCCTAACACAAATGACATATATAAAACCCTGAAAGGAAAAAAAAATGCCAACCAAGAATTGTATAACCAGCAAAATTGTCCCTCAAACATGATACTGAAATTAAGACATTTCCAGATAAACAAATTTGTAAAAGCCAGACCAACTTTACAAGAAATGCTAAGGGAGTTCTTCACACAGAATCAACAATGACAAACTAAGCCTGATATTAAGACATGCTAACAACAGCACCCAGAAGTTTAGATATAAAAATATCCAAAGTAAAACAGGCCTATAAGACCAAAAACAGGGAACCAGAGACATCCATTGGTAAACAAAGACGATGATAAAGCAAACAGAGAAAGTGAATGACGTAGTTCCACAACTTTGGTTTCTCGAGAGGGTTGTGAATGTGCAGCAACAAACAAGAAAGAAAGGCCTAGAAATCCACTTCTGACCCTCGGCCTCTGAGAACGCTGTGAAGCACAATGGCCCAATCCCATGGTGCATGAGGTGACCACGAGGCAGGGCTGACTCAGGTTGTCCGCTAGCAAGTTGGACCAGGCTGGGAACTTTGCATGCAAGCTCCCCTCCTATAAGAAAGAAGCTGCGGTTGGATGGCTAGGGTCAAGACCTTCCGAACAAGCCGCCCTCCAATGAGACTCAAGGAGCGGGCAGACTGGTGGTCCACACATACTGTCTAAAAGGGGCCCAGACCACAGGGGACTCTTCTGACTTGGCGCAACCTGAAGGTGACCCTTGCCTCATTCTACATTCATTTTGCATTGTGGTCAGCTCATGAATTTAATGGTAATTGAGTTATCATTATGGGTAGAAGAAACATTACAGTCACGGAAACCCACAGGGGCAGTGCTACTCTGTCCTAAAGGTCACTCTGAGTCAGAAAAACTTTTAATATTGATTGTGGTAATGATTGTGCAATTCTTCTTAATATAATTGAACTATTGAATTGTGTAACAAGTGATTTATATGGCAAGGAAACTTTATTTAAAAAAAACAAAAACAAACAACCTATGTACTTTGTTAACAGTGCCTTCTCTTCTTCGGGAACATACTTTGCTAATAATGCTTGTGTAAGTGTGTTACTACTGTATGCTGTGTTTCAGTCTTGCTCGGGCAACCAGCTCAGCAGAGTGTGGTATCACTGCTGCACTTTCTCATGCTTTTTCCAACTGTTTTGTTGGGTTATATCATTCACATATACAATTCAATAGTTCAATCACATCGAGAAGAGTTGTGCAATGGTCACAATCTATTTTAGAACATTTTCTTCTTTCTTGTGCTCCTCATTATCAGCTCCCCATTTCCTCTCAACTTCCCTTGCCACACCCCCAAGAACCACTAATGACTTTTACTGTGAATTTAGTGTGCAGGTTTCCATCCCAGCCTTACAGCTCAACATCCACCAGTTCAAACCACTCATCGACCCTCAAAACCATCGTCTATCCCACCCACTCCCCTGATTTCCCTTTCCCCCCATGGCCCTCCGGCCTCCTTTATGTCCACGTCTATGCCCGTCTGCCTTCTAGTCCAGTGGCTCATTTCTCATTCCAAGTTTTCCCTCCCTGTGGGAAACAGAAAGATTTCTCCCAAGTCGTCTCCCCCAAATAGATGTTAGACTTAGGACACTGCTTGAAGCTAATGGTAAATGATGGTCAAGTTACCTCCCTGAAGGCAGTCAGCTGCCAGACTACTGTCTGGTCCCACCACAGGTAGGGCCCACTCCCTGCTGTTAAGGACAATGGGCTACTTCTCCCTAAAGGCTTGCAGTCATCAGTTTGGTCCCTGTAGGGTGGGTTTACACCCTACTGATACCCTTTTTCCCCAAAAGTAAGACATCCCGTGAAAATAAGACCTACTTACAGTTTTGCCTCTCGCTGAAATATAAGGCATCCCCCTGAAAATAAGACCTCCCCAAAATAAGGGTTTGGATTGTTATGATGATGTTCCAGAAGATGATGACATGACTGCCATTGAATAAATGAGTAAATGTACCATAGATTGTTGTACATGGGAATAATGGTAATAACAAGAAATTCTTGACACTGTAGGACTCACAGTTTGTCTGGTTATGCTGGTTTGTGATGTCAACTACTACCGTACTGTATACAGGTAATAAATTTTCTTTTTTGTTGTTCAACAATAAATGCATACCATATTCTTCTTCATGGAAAAATAAGACACCCCTTGAAAATAAGACCTAGAGCAACTTTGGGAGCAAAAATTAATATAAGACACTGTCTTATTTTCGGGGAAACAGGGTAATGGTTTCTATAGTGAGCCTGAGAATGGGTCAAACCTGCTCAGTGACATCCAAAGTTAGGCTGCCATCCTGAATCTAGGATCCGCCCATCTTGTCACATGTATACCTACCATCCCTCCTCTTCCTAGTGCATGTATGTCCCTAGGTTGTCCCCCTCCCATCACTGTATTACCTACAGCACAACCCTTTCCTGTGACGCATGTCTTCACCTGTAATTAGGGGACTTGCTCATCTCCAGAGAATATAAAAGCCTTGGTTAGCAATAAAAATCTCTCTCTCGCTCCCTCTCTCCACGTGGACCACCAAGTGAGGCTGAGGTGAGCATGCTACCATGAGATGTGTCTGACTCCGTTATTTCAATCTCTCCTCTATCTCTCATGCTCTCTAGACTTTACTATAATCTTTACTTATTATCGCTGTGAAACTGTGCCTACTGGACCCGTGATGATGTGTTAGGGGCTGGTCTACCCTGATACCTCCCTGCCTTGGGAACCTCCAGAGTCTGTCCCTATTGGAAGGCCCATCTTTGTCTTGGTTTTTATCCTCATAGTAGTGGTCTCATACAGTATTTGTCCTTTTACGATTGACTAACTGCGCTCGGCTTAATGATCTCCAGGTACATCCACATCATAAAGTGCTCCATGCTGTCATCATTTTTGAGGGATGCATAGTATTCCATTATGTGTGTGCCCAACATTTCCTCATCCACTCTTCTACTGATGGACCTTTGGGCTATTTCCAACTTCTTGCTCTTGGAAAGAATGCTGCCACGAGCATGGGACTACATGTGTCTGCTTGGTGTGGCATGGCTTATTCCTTGGGGAATATTCCCTGGCAGAGGTACCTGGATCCTGTGGGATTTCCTTTCCCTGTTGCTGGAGTCAACTCCATTGCTTTCCACCGTGGTGTACGTGCTTACAGACCCGTCAGCAGTGTGGAAGGAGATCCGCTCTCTCGGCACCCTCTCCAGCATTTGTTGTTTTCTGTTTTATGGCTTTTAGTTAAAAGTTTATTCAATGGGCGGCGGCGGCGGTAACAGCCGCGGACCCTTCTGTTGGTGTTGCGTTCTTGGTGGCGGCGGCTCTAGGGGTGGAGCAGGTGTGGCGTGCGCGAGCCGACTGGAGGCCGAGTCTGAGCCGCGTCCGGGCTGACCGAGTGGAAGCCGCACAGCGCGTCCGGGAGCCATGCCGAGACCATGGCTGGGGGCAAAGCTGGAAAAGACAGTGGAAAGGCCAAGGCTAAAGCAGTATCTCGTTCACAAAGAGCTGGACTACAGTTTCCAGTAGGCCATATTCACCGACACTTGAAGACTCGTACCACAAGCCACGGGAGGGTTGGTGCCACTGCCGCAGTGTATAGTGCTGCGATTTTGGAATATCTCACAGCTGAGATGTATTCAATTTGATTTCTGTGTATTCCATCTGGAGAAGTCCATGTGTTGTTGAAAAAAGGCCATATTTTTTCCCCACTCTATCCAGGACCTTCTAAGGTGACCCCATTCAGAGCAGTTGCCAGTGGTAGCCGTGCACCATCTAGTTCTTCTGGTCTCAGGGTCATGGAGGGTACTGGAGCTGGCAGGAAATGCTTCTAAGGATCTCAAAGTAAAGCGTATCACTCCTCGTCACTTGCAGCTTGCAATCCGTGGGGATGAAGAGTTGGATTCTCTCATCAAGGCTACCATAGCTGGGGGTGGTGTGATCCCTCACATCCACAAATCCCTGATTGGAAAGAAGGGACAGCAAAAAACTGCATAGAGAGTTGTTTTCGCCAGCCCTCTTCCTCCCTGTCATTGTACTGTAACGGACAGAGAAATAATGGGGATATGCAGAATTTTTAAGAGTTAAATGGAAAAGCATAGACAATTACTGTAGACATGATAAAAGAAACATTTGTATGTTCTTAGATTTCAAAGTTTGATAAAAGTATCTTTTCATGTGGCAAAAATTATGTGTTGATTGGCTAGGTTTCTCCTTTGTATTTTATACCAAAAAATTGATAAAACCATTTTTTACAAAATATTAAAAAAAAAAAAGTTTATTCAAATGTTAAGTCCTGTACTTGATGTTCCAATAATGCAGAATAATCCTCAGTGCTCAGAAAAAGCAAGAATGTCTGCTATTACTACTTCTACTCAAAGTAATCTGGAGACAGGAGTGTTTGAAAAATCTAAATATTAAGCAACACTTCCAAATCGAATAAAGAAAGACAAAACTCAAATTTAAACAAAAAGGGAATGAGGGAGTTTTCTGAGGTGACCACAGATGTGAAGTCAAACCATATCCTTTTTTTTTTTTAATATGGAAAAAAGGAAATGTTTGGTAAATATTAATGAGTGATACTAAGCCAAATGAATGGGGAGATCAAACTAGACTGAGTTAGTTTATTGTGCCAACCTGGCCGATAAACACAATGTGGGGTTCATTGAAAGGCAGAGGGATAAATGGGCTCGGTGAGCCTCGCCTTTCTAGTTCTTGGGTCTCTTGCTTTGTGATGGTCAGACCAGGGTGCAGCTGCCTTAGCAGTTCCCTGCTTCAGCTGACAAGGCTCACTTCCT